TTTTTTTCAGAGAGGAAGGGAGAGGGAGAGAGAAATAAAAACATCAATAATGAGAGAGAATCATTGGTTGGCTACCTCTTGCCCGCCCCACGCTGTGGATTGGGCCTATAAACTGTGCCCTGACAGGGAATCAAACCCTGACCTCCTGGTACATAAGTCAACACTCAAAAGACTGAGCCACACTGGCCAGGTAATATAGAAATGTTTCATCCCTTTATTATCTCCCAGCCCTTCATTCCCTAAAAGCCATTGTTTTTTCTACTCAGTTTGAACATCAAAGTTGATCATCTGAACAACTTTCTTAATACTGTTACATCTCTGTCCCTTTTAACTTCTGTTTAATCTATCCATAGAAAAGAACAATAAAAACCAACTTCAAATCAGAGAAAGAGAGAATTTTAAAAGTCAGAGATGTCTGAACTCCAATCCCAGCTAGGCCACTTCCTAACTTTGTAGGTTTGAGAAAGCCTGAGTCTTGTGTGTGGTATATGTGTGTGTATATGCGTGATTGTATGCAAAATAGGAATGTGTATTGAATCAATCACTGTTCAGGAAGAATACAGAAATCACTGCAGATGGTTTAAGTAGAGAAGGACTAAATGGGAATAATTTGTTACAAAGCTGTGGAGAAGGTCTGGAGAAACATAAGAGGAAAAGCAGGGCTACCTAGAGACCAGGAAACGACCCCTAATCTTGATTTAAAGGAGTAAAAGTGGGGAAATATCCAAAGATTAAGGAGCTGGAATCTACAAGTCTGCACTGGCTACTGATGTGGCTGGAACTTGTATTGCTGATGCTGCTGGGACCGCTTTCACTTTTGCCACATCAGAAGCTGATGTTGCCAGAGGCACTGCCAAAAAGCAGAACTTCTCCCTTCCTCATGTGAAGGTTCCCATTAGTGGAACCCAACTGTAACAAAGCAATAAAGGAATCAGAAAAATGTGGTTTTTAGATTTCTAGCCTTTTGTACAGGGGAGATTATAAAAGAGTGGATGTGGGGATGAGTACCAACAGGCAACATCTGCCACATGTATTCATCATACTCTTGGTTGCAAGTAATAAGTCTCAATTCAAGGTGTGCAAGCAAAAAGGAAATTTATTGACTTATGTGATTTCAGGCAGAAGCAATATAGGTGTTAAAGTGATGTTATCAGGCATCTGTCTCTCTCCCTTAACTATGTTTCATTCTCAGGCAGGCTTGTTGTTCCTGGTGGCAAGGTGTCCACCAGGCTTATGTTCTACCAGCACCTCTATTTGCAGGAAAATTCCTAGATCTGATTTTCACCGGCTCAGATTTCATCATGTGCCCATCTCAGAAATGATCGCTTTGATTCAATCATGGGTTAGGAGACCAACAATGAAGTGGATTGTGGGACTTGTCTGACATAGACTTAGACTGGGGAAAGGATGTGCCAAAAGAAAAATGAGGTGCTGTTACCAATAAAAAGAGAAATGGATACTGCACAGATAACAACAAAGGCAACATGTTCATGACAGGATATTCATCTTGCAGGTTTTTTGTTGCTCTGTATCCAACCCTCCTTCCCTTCTTCAGCAAGGCTGAAAATATTGATATCCCTGGGCATGAAATATCTCAACCTCTTGTTGACTCCCAGTTTATTACCCCTTCTACACCTTTGTCCGCACCCCTATCTTTTTAGTCTACAAAGTTAAGGTATCCAATTCTTCTCATGAGTCCTTGATCCCACCTCCTCTCCTTGTCTCTAGCATCTCACTCCATCTATTTTACTTTCAAATTCATCTTCTCTACTGGTACCCTTTATGGTGTATATCCATGTTCAAATATATTTTTTAAAAAGACATGCCCAGCCAGAATGGATCAGTTGGCTGAGCGTTGTCCTGTGCACTGAAAGGTTGTCGGTTCGATTTCTGGTCAGGGAACATACCTGGGTTGCGGGTCCGACCCATGGTTGGGGCATGTATGGAAAGCAATCGATTGATGTTACTCTCTCACATCAATGTTTCTCTCTCTCTCCCCCTTCCTTTCTCTACGCATGTCCTCGGGTAAGGATTAAAAAAGCAAAACAAAAAACAAATAACCTAAATAAATAAACCAGAATATTTAACTTCATACCACTTTTCAGCTACTGTCTATTCTTTCTTCTAAATTTCTCTATAGGGGGTTCTGCACTTACTTATTCTTCTTTCTCGTTTTCATTTGCTCAACTCATTGCATTGTGGCTTCTGCCTCCATTTTCTGCTGATACACATCACATCATGGATGTCCATGACCTCCATGCCACAAAATTCAAAGGATACTTTTTTTGCCTTAACCTTATTGGAAATCTTTGCTGCATTTGATGCTGTTGACCACTTTTGTCTCCTTGAAAAATCTTTCCTCCCTTGGATATCTTCCATGACATTACTCTCTCCTGATTCTCCTCTTACTCTGTTTCTTCTCAGCTTTCTTTTTGGCCTTCTTTTCCTCTGCTGGCTCCCCAAACACTGGCATTCCCAGAGGTTAGTCCTTTTCTCACCCTCTATGCTTTTCCTGGGGATGTATTAGAATAGTCTTGAAGAAGGGTGTTGAGGAAGTCCTTGACAGACCTAGCATCTGACTTATGAATTCCACTCCATATAATATGTAGGAAGATTTAACTCCTTATACGTTTTTCCAAATGATAACAACCACCTAGAATAAAGAAAGTTTATTAGATCAACTACAATAAAAAATACAATATTCAAGCAATGCTTATATGTAGTGGTAGAAAATGCTGCCTTTGCTCCATTAAGTGTCTTTGGTGCTAATAGAGATGAAAGCTCTATTCTTCCATATATAGGTAACATGGATGCCAACTTTCTGGTGATGCATAAAGCCAGTGCTCTTGGTAAGTGACTCTCTGGATGGAGTTGTTTCTTTTTTCTTTTTTTTTAAAAAAATTGATTTCAGAGAGGGAGAGGGAGAGACAGAAACAGCAATGATGACAGAGAATCATCAATTGGCTGCATCCTGTACAACTTCTACTGGGGATCGAGCCGCAACCTGGGCATGTGCCCTGACCGGGAATCAAACCCAGGACCTTTCAGTCCGCAGGCCGACACTCTATCCACTGAGCTAAACTGGCTAGGGATGGAGTTGTTTCTAATTCAAGTTTTTCTTGATAGGACCAAGGTAATAATTTTTAAAATTTGCTGCCTGGGACCCACATTGTTAGAACCACACACAGTATCTGAGGTGGTTCATAAGCTGTCTGCTCCTAGGCCTTGGAGAGCATCAGAAGGGAGAAGAGATACAATAGTGAAAGGATGGATAAAGGGCACAGGTTGACTCCCCATTGAGCAGGAGGCTTTGCAGACATAGATCAGGGATTCAGGAAGACTGTGTCTGGGTCAAACTGCACAGTATGTGAACTTCACATTTTTCTTTGTGCACCTTAGATAATTAGACGCCTCTCCCCACCCTCGTCATCCTATCTGTGTGCCTCTGGTTACCTGAAGAGATTTCCCTGGATATTGCAGCCCTCCTGCCCAATGGACTGGGAAGACAAGTATTCTGGTGGGCTCTTTGTAAACTGATGATATTTCTGGATTTTAAAAAATTGCTCAAGCAGAAGTCTGGAATTCATCCTTCCATAGCCAATCAATTGATCACTAATATCTGTGAATTCTACCTCCTGTTTAAACCTATGCAATGTTCTCCATTCCTACTCCCACAACTAGTCATCTCCCACCTAGACTACATGAACTGCTTCCTAACTGGTCCCCACACTGAGAGCCAATTTTACTCTTCCCATCTATTCTCCACTTAGCAGCCAGAAGTGAGCTTCTGAAATGCAAGGATGAACATGCCACCCCTCTGCCTCAAACCCTGATGATTTTCCATTGCCCTTAAAATAAAGTCCAAACTCTTAGCAAACCCTTACAAGGCCCTCCTTGATTTGGCACATACTACCTTTTCAGTTCATCTTATGCCATTCTTCTCCACTGTCACCATACTGGCCTTCTTGTGCTTCTCCTTTGACTTGGAATAATTTTCTCTTCTGGCTGACCTTCTCCTTTACCCTATTCCCCTCACATAAGTGCCAATTCCTTATGGAAAGCCTTCCCAAACCTCTCCAGGCTAAATTTAGTTCACTCATAGCATCCTGTACACCTCCTTCAGATACTCATCACAAATAGCTAAGATCTGGAAATAGCCCAAGTGCCTATCAGTAGATGAATGGATAAAAAAGCTATTGCACAGTGATACTACGGAATACTATGCAGCTGTAAAAAAGAGGGATCTCTTACCCTTTGGGACAGCATGGATGGAACTGGAAAATATTATGCTAAGTAGAAATAAGCCAATCTGAGAAAGACAAGTATCACATGATCTCATTTATTTGTGGAATCTAATGAACAAAATGAATTGACCAACAAAATAAGACCTGAAGCAGAGGCATGGAACAGACTGACATACCTTTATGTGGGGTTGGGGACGAGAATAGATAAACCAAAGAACTTATATACTTACTAGAGGCCCAGTGCACGTAATTCGTGCATGGGAGGGGTATCCCTCAGCTCGGCCTGCGCCCTCTTGCAATCCAGGACTCCTTGGGGGATGTCCGACAGCCTCTTACAATCTGGGACTGCTCACCCCTAACCGCTCGCCTGTCTGCCTGCCTTCCTGCCTGCTTGCTCCTAACTGCTCGCCTGCCTGCCTGCTCAGTGCGCATCATAGTGACCGGTCGTTCCAGTCATTCCAATTGTTCTGCCATAATGGTCGCTTAGGTTTTATATATATAGATATGCATAGCCCATGGACATGGGCAATAGAATAGTGAAGACCTGGGAGTGGGTACGTAGGGGCTAGGGGAAGGGAAGTAAGGGGGGAAATGGGAGATATCTGTAATACTATCAACAATAAAAAAATATTTTTAAAAGATACTCATCACATTTCGAATCATATGTTTAATGTCTCTTTCCCATTATTCAAGCTTCAAGAAGGTAGAAATGCAATCTTGTTTCTTTATGTGTTCCTAGCACCAAGGACAGTGCCTCACACATAATAATTATTTGTTGAAAGAGAATGAATGAATAAGGACAACTTTCTTTTTCTGGGTAACTCTTATTCACCTATCGAGGACCAAGGCCAGATGTTATATCCTCCAGGTTGGGTTACAGTCAAATCTGATACATCTTTGGATCCCTAGGACCTAGTTTGGAACTTGGTACATGATTCATATATCATAGAAGATATTTGTCAAATAATAAACTCTTGGCCAGGAGTTGATAATTGTTGAAACTGAGTGATGGGTATATGAGTAGGGTTCATTACACTGTTCTTTCTCCTTTCATCTATATTTTTAAATTTTCCAAAATAAAAAGTGAAAACATTTATAGTATTCACCTAAAGTCAAGCGAAAATGTAGTCAAAGATGATCTTGAGGTTTCTGGCTGAAGCAAACCAGTAGGTGGTGGTGCGGTTCACTGGGGTGGATGAAGTGGAGCTGCATCCATACTCAATGCGCCTGTGCATGGGCTAGCTTGGAGAGGGTTCCTTTTCACCCCAGTGAAAGTTCTTCGAAGGTCAATCACGGGGATGAAAGAATAAATTTTGATTTCAATACCTTTAGTTTTCATTACTTGAGGGCATCTCCAGTCAGCTGTGCAATAGTTAGCAGCTACAAAAAATCAAAACCTCTGCCTTAAACAATGAGCTATCAGAGGGGTTCTGGCTGGTAACCTTCCCCCTCCTGGTCCTGGATGGCCTCCGGGACACGGATCTGACTGACCACCGGGAACTGTCCTGCAGTGAATACTGTGCCCCACCAGTGCTGCCTCCACACTTCTCACCCACACCCTCCCCTTCTTCTTTACCACCGTTTTAGTTCTACTGGGGAGCGATTTATTGACATCGGCCAGGCCTCGGTGGGTATCACGGCTTTATGGTCAGCGGCAGGTAGGGTGTCAAGAAAATTCTGGCTCCCGTTTGACTTCCCACCTTCTGACCGCAAGTCGCTTGACCGTTCTGAACCTCAAATGCTGCCTCGGAAAAACAAGGGTAACAACCGTGGCGACTTCACGGGGCTGGCGCGAGGAAGAACGCAAGCAAAGGGCTCAACACAGAGCCTGGCACCGTGTGAGCGGTCGATGGACAGAGCTATTATTATCGCCAGCGCCGCGCCCTCCTCGGCTCTGCATCTGGCCGTCGGGAGAGCTGCCGCAGGAGCGGCGCAG